GGACCCCATTGAACAATATTTTTATTACAAACTTCCTTTCCAAAATTGTATAGAGTGTTATTTAGAGGCTTTCCCCTTTCCTTTCACTAATACAAATTCAACAAATCTAACCCAAATAGCATAAAAACATTTCATATGTTTAAAAAAATCTAATCAAAAGTGATTGTTTCTCTCCCATCCAGTATTTTAGTACAGTATATCAGATCATACAGATACCAATACTGGGGGCTGAAAGACTGTGGTCTGCGCAATCTCATTTCAGCATTGTGGGAAACTCCTGCCCAAGCCTGTTATCTGTCACAGTGAAGAGCAAACTCTCCTGGCAGAGAAGTAGCAGCTGCCAATGGGCAGCTGCTGACCTACTCATTCTGCCTTTTCCCTTAGAGTTAGGGCATAGGTTCAAAGACTTTCTCGGGCCAATCCTAGTGGCGATTAGATAACCAGTATCCTATCTGAATTCTTGCAACATATGATATAACCCTTGCTAAGTTAATAAAAGAGTTCTCAAGGTGTTGCCTTTAGGCTCCGCTGGCTCGGACATTTGTTGTCGACACTTCTCTGTTTTCCCTTTGTTCTGTGATCACCCACATCATTCCTTCCTTTGCCCCGTGATCACCTACACAGCATCACAAGTGCAACCTGTACTGTGACAGTTCTTGAGAAGTGAGCTCACCTTTCTTTTGCATCCAGAAAAGCTTTGGCAAAGGGGTTGTATTTGATTTTGAGAGCTGTGATCTGTGTTTAAAAAAAAAAAAGAAAGAGAGAAACGAAGACATTAACAAGGTCATTTGAAGTCTAGCGTTTTCCAGAATAAGGTTAAGTGGGTTTTGGTTTTTGCCACAGATAATGAGCTCACATTGCAAACACAGAATCTGCTTAACCATACATTTCTGTGTAAGGGTGGTGGGTGCATAAAATATGCACAGTATAGAGCATGTGGAAAGCAGCAAGCCCCCGGCCCTACTTTTAATATTAGAATCAAGTGAATAGTGGGAAGCTGAAGACAAATAAGAAAAAAATACTTCCTCACCCACTGCAGAGATAGACTTTCTACCATAAGATGAAAAAGTAATTAGACAAATTCCTGAAGGGTGAAGCTACTGTTGATTGCTTCATAATCTCACATCATATGCCTTTGGAAACTATTTATTGGTGAACATAAATGGGTCTCAGAGAAACTATGGCACTCACTTGCTGTTTATGAGCTTCACAGAAGAATCTTATTGTAAGTCAGGTTCTCTGTATTGAAGCCCACCATCCACCTCCCAAACCAGTAGCATTTATTTCACTGCCGGGAGGAAGGATATGGTATGCACAAAATTCTTCCTCTACCTTGACTAGTTCTGGCCTCCTATGAATGGCTTTTGCATACAGGGATGAACAGCACACATATTTCAAAAAAGGCACCCACAATTCTAGTAGATGAAAAGACAAGATGGCAGACAGCCACAACAGCCTGATTACCATCTGAGATTCCCTTCTTTGCCTGGTAATAGTATAACAACCCTTTTCAGAGACTGTGCAGTTTGCCCAAGGCCATAAGGCTGATTCTTCTGGCATAAATAGTGGTGAATTGAACTATATGTCATTATAAGTCACTACAATAATCGTTTTTTAAGTAGGGGATTGGAGCAACAAATCCTATCCAAAAAATGGCACATGAAGAGAATCTTTGTATAAATGGACTATCCTACTGGAATATCTGGCACTTCATCTCATCCTAATAGGTCAGCCTACAAGTATCCATTTGTTCATTTGTGTACCATCAAGATTTATATTTTATCATTATATAAAATAACCATGGTAATGTACATTCGGGATCAAACTAAACAAACATTTTAAAAAACTTTTTAAAATATTAATAAAGCAGTGAGGCTAGGTCCACTTTGTGGTGTGTTCCATCAAGGTTTTTTTAAATATATATATATATATAATTTATACCCACTTGCCTCTTCATTCTGGTATGCAGTCACTGCTATGAACTGTGTTTCAGGAAAAGAACAATTCTTTACCATCCTGTGTGGCCCTCCTACTCGCACTATATGAACCTGAGGCTCATATTTATGGAGAGAATTCAGCATAATCTGTGGTGAGAAAAAGGGAGAGGGATTAGGTAGAGGTAATGATGCTGTGGAGTCTATTAAAAAGTATGACTAAGCAAAGAATGAGACACAAAGCTTAGAGAAGTTTCATTTCTGAACTACAGCTCTCCCAGTCCCCCAGTCAGAAGCCCCCAATGGCTGTGCTGGTTGGAAGGCTGGTGAAGGTCTACTCTAAGGAGATAACTTTTCCAAGCTTGAGGTAAATGTACAGTCAGCAACAGGTACAATGTTGGACGTGTGTCCATAAATCATATTCAAATTGTTTGTTCTCACTGTCTTAATTTCTGAGCCCTTGAGAACTACTGGGTGCCAATAAATATACCACAGGATTGTCTCACATTCAACTGCACAAAGGACAAAAGCCCCCAGAATTTTATATAGCTTTTCTATAGCTTTTACTATTTTTAAAATGTATACATCTATATTTGGAGAAAACCAGAAGTGCCCTTGTGTGTGGAACGACTTTTGAACTTGGATTTGGTACCATTCTAAAAGTTCTCAGCTGAAGTTCTGCTCAAATGCATTCTGCCCCTCAGTTCTTGATGTATTGTTGCTTGCCTGCACCACTCTTTGCATTCCACGTGGTGTATCTGAGAGATCTAATAAAAACAAACAAGACCCTAGATATTTGGAATCTGCCCATTCCGAACTCAAAGCAAAGCCGGTCATGTGAGGTGTCCTCTCAGGCAGAAGAAGCAGAGAAATGGCAGCATTTTGTGTGAGGAGAGAGGTGTGTACCATGCAGCCTGCTGTACACCCGCTAGACTAGCCTTCAACCTATGTCAGGTGGAAGATGCTGTCAGGGACATGTTGAAGAAAGCTTCAGCTTCCGGTTTGCAGTTCGTAAATGGAATGGGAAGATGACTGTCTTGATCTTTAACCCATGGAGCAAACTACACTAGACTGGCCTGTCTTGAAAGTATACATTTATTCATAAATTGTATCCTTTATGATAGATAGAAACTGGTGACCAATGGCATAGCATTCTGAGTTTCCTGTGAGTGAATAGTCTTGTACCGAGGATGTAGATCCAGCATTCAAGAGGTCTAGGTTGCATGTTTAGTTTGACAGTGCTCTACTATGTCAAAGCTAAACTATTCGCTATTACAGAGGCCTCTGTAGTTTCACCTTTAAATACAGAATGCACGAAGATATTCCAAATCACGTTGCTAGGCACACAACAAAAAGGCCACAGCTGGCCAGAGTAGATGTAAATCAGATGTATGGTTGAAAATTACTTTTTCTTTTCTTTTCTTTTGGCATGTTAATAGGTTTGTTGGCAGATTTATTCCAATATATGAGCTTTGTGCAAAACAGGTCAAAGGAAATGTGTTACACCACAGTCCCAAGATGCATACATTAAATGAACAAGCCAACAAAGCCAACTTTCCTCTTTGCATTTTTAAGGGTCTCAGAGAGAATGGCACTTACTGCCGGGTACAGGTACATGCTTTTTATTATTATTCCAAAGGCCAGAGATGATTCAATAGAATATTGATAATTATCGTCAAGCAGAAGCAAGCAAGGCAATTATTTCATTTAGGAGAAGCCTTTTATTTGAGTACCTTACTATTGCCAACATTCCACTTATGCACCAAACAGCATGGGGAAGAAAACAAAACCTTAATACCCCAGTCATTTCTCCCCTTCTCTGAAGTCCTGTGTAAAAACCTCAACACACAAGACGAACTATGGATGGGGGTGGGGAGAGACCCTGATGGTTAAACCACAGCACACTCTGTCTCTCTTAACATCAAGGAGTCCATTAAAATCTGAAAGCTCCAATTAAGACCTGTTTATTCCTGTTTACATTTGGACTCCATGGAATAATTGGCATCTGTGGGTGAAGAGGCCTCTAAGGGCCCACCTAATTGCATAAATGCACCCTTGATATTCCTTGATTGGTAGAAGCTGCTGACTGAAGCCAAAGAGGCATGTACAATACGTGGCACCATACCTGCCCATTGCCATTCAGTTTATTGGTAAGTTTCACTTTGCTAAAAGATACTGCTGCCTTCATCCAATGGGCCCCAAAGTTGGGAGAGTCAGGGTGGATGTAGACACAACTGTGATTTGATGGCTCCGGCTTGCCTGCTGGTACCCATTCTCCATTGACATACTTCCAGCGGTGACTGTCAGTCAGAGCAAAGTCCAGCAGAAAGGAATACATAGCGTTTGGGTCCAGGCCTGAGACACTGATCTTTAGAACAGGGAACATCCGTCTGTAAGCAAAACAGGACATGTAAAATGGATGAGGATAGGATCGTTTTAAAACTAGTAAGTAATCAACTTTATTTACTTATTCAGTTGCTTCTCTAAACAAAGTTCTGCTCTTCCACTGCCTCATTGTGGTGTGGCGCTGATCTAGGCTTCTGAATGCTGTGGTGGTGGAAAGCAATCTCCTGCAGGTCTTATTAAGGTGGCAAGTGTCTGAATAAGGCCTTGGTGGTAGGCTGTCTTCTGAGGACCATCTAGCTAACAACGGAAAGATTGTCAATAAACAGTTGGCTACACAACCTGGTGAAAAAATAGTCATAGCAATTATGAATGCAAATGCTTAGATACAGTGGTTAACAGTGGTTACTCCAAATTAATGTTTAGGAACTTGGTGAATCAACACTATGTGAATTCCATTGATACAGTGGGTCTTGCTGTAGATGGGAGAAGAATTGGATTTTTGTGAATGGCACATAAAGTACTTGCAATCTGCATCAGTGAAGGAATTAAAAGTGATGATACGCTCATGGATCTCCAAGGTTTGTAAGATATTCAGTACCTTTGTTACATAAATCAAGGTGCAACATTGTGGTGCTATTTCAAGGCTCCCTGTATTTTCATTGAACTAAGTGGTATCCCATTTGTCTTTCCCACTGAGAGTTTGGTGAACAAGAATGCCACTGGATCAAGGCAACAGTTTATGTATTTCACAGCCGGGATCTAACGGTTGTTGTGGGTTTTTCGGGCTCTTTGGCTGTGTTCTGAAGGTTGTTCTTCCTAACGTTTCACCAGTCTCTGTGGGCGGCATCTTCAGAGGACAGCACTCGAGCCAGACACCAGAGCACAGAGTGCTGTCCTCTGAAGATGCTGGCCACAGAGACTGGCGAAACGTTAGGAAGAACAACCTTCAGAACATGGCCAAAGAGCCCGAAAAACCCACAACGCAACAGCTTATCTTCCTAATATAACTGAAAGATGTGTTTAGACATAACAAATGCACTGCTCAATATCAGGGTTGCTTGTTAAGCTCTCTCAAAGAACATATCAGTACATAACAATTATTTGGGAGTCTATATGTGCTTATATAAGCCATTTAGTTCTTGCTCTCGTACTTGGTTTGGTTGCTTAGTCTTCCCCTGCTGGCCACCCTTGAGAGATTATACTCCAGTCTGATGTGCTCCTCAGGCAATTGGGCCCCAGCAGCTAGAAAACAGAACAGCTTGTAGGATTCTTTCCACTCCTTCCCGTATCAAAAGGGTGTGATCAAGGCAATTCCATCAATGGGAAACAGTTTCCAATTTGTGGCCCCAAAAAGAGGAAGTAGTAATTCCAACAGGTTACAAAAAGGAAAGACTAGGCAGAAAGTAAGACTATTAAATTAGTCCCATTGAAATATGACTTCCTTTAAAAACACATCATCCATTGTAACTAGCAGGTTGTTTTGATACCAGGATATACTCAGACACAATTTTAGTATAAGTATCTAGTATAAGTATTGCTACACAGGCCTCATGAACCTAACAAAGGCAATTGTATTTTTTATAATTATATATATTTTATATTGATTTATTTTATGTTGTAAGCCGCCCCGAGTAGACATGGTCTAGAGGGGCGGGGTATAAATTTAATAAATAAATACATAAAATAAATAGGCCTGGGATATTTCGGCTAAGAGAGAAACATTTACAAGTAGTATAGAATTTCCGTTGTAACCTCATACTTTGCCCTTTCACCTTTGATCTAGCAGGTGGCCCAATTCAGTAACATGGGCAGAAGGAACTAGGTGATGATAGCAGGAACATAAACTCAGCAAACATAAGGAAAAATGGATATTCTTTCCTCCAGACATTGAGGCACATCCCAAGTCATGGGTCAAAGGAAGATGGGGCATCACATATGCTCTACTAATCTATAGGGAACCAATAGATTAGTAGAGTTGGCATTACTATCTAATAAGGGACTGGATCCTGATTTTGGGAAAAGATGACCAATAGAATTGTTGTACCTTACGGCTATTTGTTTGTATTATTATAAAACATGTACTCTGCATTTTTGGAGTCTTCTCTGCTTTTAAGAGAAGTCCTTGCTGACTTCTCTTAAAAGCTGATTTGCTGTTTATCAGTAAATTTGGACCTTTGGTCCCGCTGGTGCATTTCACCCGATTCCTTGCTGGAAAAACTTAAAACTCAGGTTTGATCTGTAACAGTATGACTGGGTGATAGTGGAAGGAGACATGAAGGAAAGGAAAGCCATACTACCACCACATTGGTAGTATGGCTGTAACTTAATTTAGTCTACACTTCCACACAGTATCTTTAATTAGGGCTAAATTTCCCTGTTGCAACTAAGTCACATTCCAAATATTAGGAGGCCCAAATGTTTTCAAATGTTATAATAGTTTTTAAAAAATAATGAACGAGCAACCAAAAAAAAAAGAAATATAATTAACAGTGAGTTACTAAATGGATCTCCACAAACTTAATAGTAATACATTTCAGTGTCTAGATTTATAACACATTCATAACAAATTTATTTTTAAAAGTAACTTTCCAATTCGTCATCTCACAAAATAAATACTAGCTTTCTTATAAGAATAATTTCCCCTACATCTGAAAAGAAACTGTGATTAATATTATCACTTCCTGCTTGAAATGACACTCCGGAGTGCAATGGGCGAAAACCTGTGGCTTAGAATAGTAAGGGGCAACTATATTGGTGGTTTATCCTGCAGTTTGCATCAGATTTGCCCAAAGGAAATCAAATAAAAAACTGGGAAACAATGTAAAGCTAAGCCTGGGAAGGTGGACGCTTTTTCAATGGAGAAGTGACTCTCTTTTTTCAACCAGTAGAGGGTGGTTTATTTTGCTTCAATTCAGCTGGTATTCCTTTTCTCCTCTTTCAGCTTGATGTGATTGGCTGATTCAGTCAAAGTGGTGGTTGTGGGGGTGTATGTTCCTTTCAATTGTGCAACTGTTGTCTCCAAAAGTTTTTTTTTCTTTTTAAAATGATTTTCAAAGTTAGTGCCGCATCAGGTTAGTGCAATGTCAGTTTGGAAAAAAATAAAAGGCAATGACAGGAAGATGTGGTCCTGGTGGAGCTCACAATCCCATTTTGCAGCGTTTTGCCTCTGCTGACTCCTGCAACATGATAATTGTTTGTATTCATCTGGACGGCTACAGCAGTTTTACCCACAGAAACAAGCAGGGGCCTTATTTGAAAATTTTGAATCAAACTGGGTTTATCATATTGCATAGTACCAGAGTAGGCCCAGAGAATCAGTGAGGATTTTATGAATTATTTTCTCCATAAGCTCCATTGATTCAATGGACTTACTCTAGTTGTTACTTACTTTAACACAACTAGAGTAGGCTCATTTGAATCAGTGGAAATTATGGAGGAGTTGACTCACTAAATCCCCATTGATTCAGTGGTTCTACTCCAGTGTGATTTGCTACATCAAGCAACAGGATTTCAGCTAATATATCTTAAGTAAAGCTACTTGCAAAGAAGCACCATACCATTGCATAAGTAAAACTAGCCTGGTCTTCACACATTATTCTGAAAACATATCAGAGCAGTATAAAAAACCAAAAAGACAACTGGGGAACAGCAAGGAAGTGAATAGAAAGAAAAAAGAAAACATAGGGAGGTACATCACAAATCAATCGCATTGGTATCCAGGAATAAGATTTACAGATGAAAGATCATAATTTCTGAACTGCACCAATCCATTTCCTGCAAATTATCTTCTGGCTCCTGTCCAAATTATTCTTAAAAACTTGCAAGGTACAATATGCCAAATGCTTTCCAGTCAACATGCTGAACTCCCTTTGAAGTAAAATTGGGGAGAGGGAGGTGCCCTAAAATCTATTGGCCAGGATCCTATTGTTGATTTACGCGTGTGTAAGAGAAATTGCTTAAACCTTGGTGGCAAATTGCTCCTCATTAGTGAGGTAGTAGTAGTATTCCTTGCTCCTCATTAGTGAGGTAGTAGTAGTGTTCCTGGATGTCTGCCCAGAAAGGCAACCAGCACCTCATTAATGAGTGGAAGTTTGCCATCAAGACTTGTATGACTTCCATTGGATTCCACAGGATTCTGGTCATTGTCATGTTTAATCCTTTCCATTGTGATGAATGCTTAGTAGAGAAGTAGACATGTTTTTTTCTCTTCTCCCTCCAACCTCTTTCCAGACATGTGAATGGCTAAACGTGATACAATTAAAACAAAAACAATAGCCTTTTAAAATGGGTGATATATCTACTAGAAACTGAACAAACACAAATGATACATTTTCCTGCACAAAACTTCATATTTGTAGTGCTCCCAGGAACATTTTGCAACCTGATGGAAGTTAAAAACCTCTCATCTGCCAGGTGCAACACTTTGCTAGACTATGCCTTATAGATAGCCTGTCATAAGAAGCCGAGATCCATCACAGTTCCAGAGACCTTTGTTACAGAGTTAATCACATTTCTCATGAAGTTCCTGTTTACAGTAAGTCCAGAAGAGAGATGTGAATAATTTTAGCTGTGATACTCACATGTCCTTGAATACCTGAGAAAATTCCCTCTTCTAATGATGGGTTATCTGTAATCCTTAACTTGGCCTTCAGAAAGCCATAAATTCCTACTTATCTATCTCTGCCACCAGCACCCTACCTACATGTGCTGACTATCCTGCTGAAATATTAGATGTTTGTTACTTAGAAACAGCTCTATATTATCCACCATTTTCAGAAAAATTACCCACAGAAAATCTAAGTAGGCATTATATATTTGCAATAATCAGCAGCAAGGTTTTTTTTATTGTGGGTTATATGTAAACAAGAACAAACCAGCTTGCAACACACATCTTGCTTTAATGTGATCCCTCACATTAAAGCAGGATATGTAGGTCCAGACATACGGCCAGTGCTGGGAGGCTTCCTGGCTACAAACAGAGCAGGGGTTTGGGCAGTAGCTTGCCCACCTGACATGCAGCAAAAACAGAGTTGCTGTAGCTGTCCCATCCCAGGGCAATAACATTGTCCCCAGACAGTCAATGCCAAGGTAGCTAGGGAACCGCCCAGCATTGGCCAGCATGCTATGTTGTTCTTGCCAGTTGGAGGAGGAAGTTCCAGCGCTCCATTTTTATCACATGTTGAGGGGTAAGGATTCTGATGCTCCTTCCACCTTGGTTATCTATCTATCTATCTATCTATCTATCTATCTATCTATCTATCTATCTATCTATCTATCTATCTATCTATCTATCTATCTATCTATCTATCTATCTATCTATCTATCTATCTATGTCTGTCTGTCTGTTTAATTTTTATACTGCCCATCTGGCTGCCAGGCCACTCTGGGTGGTGTACAAACAAGTGACAACAACATAACAACAAATGTACAATAGCAACCATGAAATTAAGATAAAATAAAATAAAATTGCTTAAAAAGGGGAAACCACTACAAAAAACTAGAAGAGAGAGGACATAATAAAATAATTTCAGTTCCCAAGGTGCCACCAAGCACTTGCCAGCCAGCAATGGGAGCCCTGATAATGGTCCGTTGTTTGTTTGTTTTCGAGGGCAGATTGGCACCATTTTTAAACCACATAATGGCTGGCATTGTGTTTGCAGTGACAGGAGTCACTGCGGAGTCAATCCACTTTTTCCTGGCAATGTAATTTCAGCCATAGAGGATTTCTGCATCTTTCTGGGTGAAACTTCGCAAAACTGATCATCTTAAGGGGGTCAACTATTCTAGTGAATGGTCACCAAAAAAAGAAAAGAGTTATTGTTGTAAAGAAAGAAATAAACGAAACTGAAAAGCATGTAGAAGAGAAACTGCTTCACTTCTGCATCTGCAGTTTGGTAGAACTAGTCCACTCCAGTTGATTCCCAGTGTGGTGTAGTGGATAGAATGACAGACTAGAACTCTGGAGAACAGAAATCAGTCTTTAGCAATGTGAATCATGAAAAGCTATGGATTGTTCTAAAACAAATGAATGCGCCACAGCATTTGATTATCCCTATATACTCTGGATAAGGGGTTTATTGTTAGGATCAAATATAGAAAAACAGAATGATTCCAGCAAGCAAAAGTATCAAAAAGAATGTGTTTTTAATCCCTGCCTATTGAACTTATATTCAGAGCAGATCATAGAAAAACCTGGATTAGATTCAGGCGAAAGAGTGAAAACTGATCGAAGAAACTTTAGTAATTTTACGTTATACAATTACAATGATTTGAAATGACTACTATGGTACATTAGAGAAGAAAGTGCAGAAGTGACTACAGTTGAACCTTAAGAAGTCAAAAATAATATTTACAGAAGAATTACATGACTTCAATGCTGTTAATGAAGAAAGGGAAACTATTAAATATTTTCTGTACTTGGGTTCAAGTGTCAAAGTAGAGACTGCAGCTGGGGAATCAGAAGACCTGAGCAATGATAGGATGTTTTGGAGATCATTAATTTGTAAGAGCACCATAAGTCAGACCTGACTTGATGGCACATAGTGCTTTAAGCACTGTGGGGCGGTATATAAACAGCAGCACATAACGATAACTTCAATATTTGGTTCTCTCTTTTCACTAATTATAAAGTAATAATAAAATATACTGACCGTTGGAACTGATACCTACAGACATGGGAATAATTGAGGGAGAACAGCCTATCATTCTGGCATAGCTTGTGGTAGACATATCCCTTCTCTACACAACTCTTCCTGCTATTATGTAGGAAGCCAGCCCTGTTGAAAATCTGTCCAACCAGGAAGCTAGTGCTCATGCAGCAGAAATAGCTTGGCATCATCCCAAAGGGGAAGAGATACAAATTTCATCCCAAATATTTGTAAACCAGTCAGTAACCGTTTATGATACACGTGAAATGTATACCCTATTACAAGTGACAAAGGCATATTCAATCATGTGCATGTGTCATAAGAATCTATCATTAATTAGAGTTTCCCATTGCTGGGGTGAGGTGCTCCTAGGACATGTTAACTGATTTTATTTTATGTTATTAATGTTTTGTGCAGGTTTTGTATTTTGCTGTTAATTATGCTGCTAGCCTCCTTTTGGGTTTCGTTATGTATCGAAAAGCAGGATAGAAATTAAATTCAATAAACAAAGCAACTTTTGTACATCTATGTCAGTCATACAGGGCATATGGACATAAGACCAGAAATTTGTCTTGCACATTAAGGCCATCCTAAGAGATAATATTTCCCATGGGGGAAGTTCTGTGCATCTGATAACCTTGAGCATTTTTACCAGGATATACTGCCCAGAATATGATATGGTCTAACTTTCTTAAATTTACTTTGACATTCAACACTCGGCATGGACACATGTACTGCTTTAACAGCCATCAACTACCTGCACATCTCTCCAACATTTCATAAGCTACTCAATCCCCAGAAACACCGACTTCTTCAAATTGAAAAAGGTAATCTATTTGTACACACACACACACACACACACACACACACACACACACACACACACACACACACACACAGAGAGAGAGAGAGAGAGAGAGAGAGAGAGAGAAGAGAGAGAGAGAGAGAGAGAAGGTATTTGGGACCCAATCCACCAGGAAGATATCCAGCACATGCCTCATTGAAATGATGGGGAGCTGTGCCAAACTGATGCTCCACCTGCATACTGTTCTTATTCCTGTCTATGGGGTTTGCACAGGACAATGTCCCCAATAAGTTGTTGGCCAACAGAGTTTTGACTGCAATTCTCTTGAACCTTCAGTCTTTGAAAAGAGAAGAGAACACTCACCGGCCATTCTTGGTGACGATCATCTCATTTGTAACTTCTCTGAACCTCTGCCATAGTGCAGCATCCTCCAAGACAACCTGGAGCTGTTTCTCGGTGGGGTCCCCTTTGTCTCTCCCAGCTTGGAGTTCATTCTCCACCACATTGAGCAACCTGGAGACTGTGCAGTCACTGTGTTTCTTGCAGCCCAAATCAGTCATGGCAACTTTAATGACAGAAACTTCTCAGATGACTTTTGAAAAAAAAAAGGAAAAAAGGAAAGCAAGGAAAGGCGATCAATCAACTGCAAAGAATTAAACCTCAACCAATTAATTAGCCACAGTGGAACAAACACACTCACCTCGCTCTCTTGCCACAGACGTGTTCTTCCCCCCACAATGTCCCAACAAGACGATGACACCTGTATGTCAAGGTTTTAACATGCACACACAACCATTTCCTAATTACCAACTGTCAGGTGGGAGGCTGCCTGATTAGGCAATTGGCTGCCTCCAAAGAAGACTCTTCCATTCAAATCACTAAGCTTTTATCTTTTTTGAGGAGAGTCTAATTATTCCGCTCAAGAACGATATTTCCATTAATGAAAATGGTTTAATGTCTCAATTGAAACAATGAATGCAAAGCAGGTCTGTACAGATGCAAATTCTTGATGAAAGAGGGAGTGATAGACACATGCAAAAGCAACCTGTGGGGAGATGTGGGTTTTTCTTACCCATTAAAAAATGCTCGTTTACCTATGTCCTGCTACATAATTTTCAACAGTATTTCCAATAAACTGTAATGGCCTTATGAGAAGAACTTGTGTGAAGTTTCCAGTACTTGAGCCTAATTCATTGCTTCCAGGGGATGAAAAGGAAAAAAAGATAGAATAATATATTTTCTTCATTGTTTTATAAAAGTTCTGGTTGCCGCATCTCAAAAAAGACATAGTGGAATTGGAAAAAGTGCAGAAGAAAGCAACTAAAATGATGACTGGGCTAGGGCATCTCCCTTATGAGGAAAGGTTACAGCGTTTGGGGCTCTTTAGTATAGAGAAAAGGCGCCTGAGAGGGGACATGATTGAGATATATAAAATTATTCAGGGGATGGATCAAGTGGATAGAGGGAAGCTCTTTTCCCTTTCACGCAATACAGAATGCGGGAGAAAACATGAACATTCCCGGGGGGGGGGGCATTATCACTGATTCAGACTACTTTTGTAATGTGAATTAGTTTGAATTTTGCAGGATCCATGTTTTTTTTCCCCATTGGCCACCAGGTTGCAGTATTCTTAAATGTTTTCTCTAAAAACTAATGAAGTAATGAGAAGGGATTATTAGGTTACATTTGAATAATGAGAAAGAAAATAATTGTTTTTTTTTAAAAAAAATCTGTAACTATAATAATTAGAGCATTGTGGTGCAGTGATTGAACTGCACTACTGCAGCTGAGACTCTGCATATGACCTGAATGTGGTCCTGGTGGGCTCAGGTAGCCAGCTCTAAATTGACTCACCCTTCCATCCATCCAAGGTCAGTAAACTGAGTACGCAGGTCGCTTGGGCGGAGGGGGCAATGTGAAGCCTGCATAATTAAATTGTAAACTGCCTGGAGCTGTTTAAGCATTATGTGGCAGTAAATAAACAGCATACTTTAGTAATAAATTATGCTGGGGCAAAACTAAACTTCCAGTACCCAATAACTGAATATATAGATTAGAGATGGACACAAATTGTCAAACAAATATTCCCAGCCCCACCTCCTCTGGCGGGCACCCATTTAGAGGCAGTGCCCCAGCTTCCCTGCCCTGTCTCCTCTGGGCACTGTCTGAGTGGATACCAGCAGGAAGAGGCTGGACCGGGAAGCACCAAACACCTGTTTGGCTGAGATATGAACGGGTTCGGCGGTTGATGCCCATCTCTAATTTAAAGCCAAGTGAGAGATTTTAAAATAATAGTACAGTATATTGCTATGGATATCTGCATCTATTGTTGCTTTTCTTACTGTTAAAAATACTTTCATCCAGTGCATTTATAAAGATGTATGAAGATGAGATAAGCTGAATATTTGAGAGTCTTCTTTCTAGAAATGTGTCAAATGTTACATTGCCCATTCATGCTATAATTTCGCTTGGCCCAAATGTCTGCTTCTAACATACAGTATCTAGTTGAATACATGGGTTAGGAGTGAGTTATTGGCAGCACAAACTGGTCCCCCAATAGTCATCATTTTGGGGGCATCAGACCTTAAGATTTGTGTTATGAGCATAGTGACCTTTACAAATCAGTTATTAAAGCCCTATGTGTAGGACTAAGAACCTTGCCTTGTGAAAGTCAATCAAAATATATAAGTTTTTGGTGTAATGTTGCTGACTTATGTGTCAGTTAATTGAAAATTCTAGAGCAGCCAGCATCAAGAACAGCATATTCAGTTTATTCTTGATGATCTAAAGCCAGTTGCTATTCCCAGTGAAGTTGAAGCTATTGAATCAATAGGTGTTGATGTGCTACATTTCCACTCATTCAGTGGGTCTACAAACCAGTTGGAGTTAGCAATTGGATTTCGGCCTATTTGTTAAGAAAATAAAAAGGTTAGCATTGATGTGTGTTAAGACAAAGAGACATAATGTCAAATCATTTTAGTAATTATTGACATACTGATACTGTGTTTCCCCGAAAATAAGAGAGGGTCCTATATTAATTTTTGCTCAAAAAAAAACTCATTAGGGCTTATTTTCAGGGGATATTTTATTTTTTTCATGTACAACAATCTACATGTTTTCAAATACAGTAATGCCATCTTCTTCTGGTTGCTGCACAATGCTAGAGGGTGGCGTTTCACTTACCGTATTTTTCGCTCCATAAGACGCACCTTTCCATAAGACGCACCAATTTTTTAGGAGAAGAAAACAGGAAAATATAATCTGTTTTCTTCACTCCATAAGACACACAGACTTTCCACCCCCCCTGTTTTGTGGGAAAAAAGTGTGTCTTATGGTGCGAAAAATGCGGTAATTGAGGCTTATTTGGGAGGTATTATGAGCATCCTGAAAAATCATACCAGGACTTATTTTTAGGGGAAACAGGGTAGATACAACTATAAACATTTCAAATTGTCCCAGTTGTACATTTTCATATTTTCATGATTATAAATGAATAGTACACGAGGAAGGGACTGTTTCAACAGCCAACCTGACAATCTCCAATTTCAAGGTCAACTGAATCAAATACAACCAGAAAATAGAACAGGGCGAAAGGTAGTCATTTAGTCCAAGGAACAAACAGTCCTTTCACACTCCAAAACAATCGCAGAGGTTCAATTGCTCATCCATACTTCTCTCATCTTCACTGAACACCACGAAAATGGATGTCTCTTCTTCTGCCATTAGCAACCATCTCCTTGGCTGTTAGTTGTTGATGTGTATAAGCCTCTTTCGGCCATTAGAAACCCAGGTAATTGCCCCTTTATCTAAACTGATCCTTGCAGAAGTCATGTAAAGCCTAATCTTTCCTAAACCACTTAAAGTCCAATAATCACTGATGGTGTCAGATCCTGATTAAAAACACCAACAAAGCAGCTGTCTTTTTGTCCTCTGTAATTATGAGTTGGCATTGGATGTCATGGCCAGGTGGATATTTGGTTTCCATGGGCTTCTGGAACTGAACGTACAGACCACTCAGATGGGACACCAGAGAACGGAAAGAATGAGTTTGCTTCTTGCAGATTTCAGAATTTCCTTTTTGAAAAAGAAAATAGGCAGTAGAATTGTCTATAGAACAAAAAGCAGCTATCAGGTAACAGGTAAAGACAGGGGAAAAAACATTCCAATTTTTTCTCCTGCTACATGCAAGCAGCTGGTAGCCTGAGTTTTAGACAGCATTAATCAGCCACAAAATGACCTAAGCAACTTCTAGACAAGGCTGCTAACTGAGATTTGACAGAATTGTGGTACTTGCCATTTCCTGCTCATAAGACTCCTTAATATCAGATGTTTTAGCTTATTAATTGTATTTATGAAAATTAGTTTAGCTTGTCCCTTGAAAAACTGGGCTATGAATTATGAAGTCTTGTATGTCGTTGATGACTCTCAAATTGGCCTTTTCAGCCACACTAGACGCTTATCCAAGTCCTCGATACAGAGCATGTTACTGTAGTCTCTCGAGATTGAAGGATGCCTAAGAAGGTATGACTTAGAGAAGTGCTTGGAAATCTACATCACATGGCAATTCTCAGTACTTACGTTTCCAATTCCCACTTATGACCATATCACACAAATGAGTTCTCTTACCATGCTGTAGCCATCCATATATCAGAAGGCACAGCATCTTGTCTTATCCAATCAGAACAGTGGCCCATTTAACTCAGTATATATACTGTACACTGACTGTCAGTAGGCTACATGGAAGGAACTGGAAACAGAGCATTCTCTTATGCAGTGTGAACTGCACCACTAATTATAGCCCTTCTCTTATTCAGAATAAGGGGAGCTAAGGAATCCCATCTTATATTGTGCAACTGACATTCCTCATTTGCTGGATGTTATTCTGGAGGTAGAGTGCTGATATATTGTCCTTGGAACTCTTGCACATTTTCCATCATTTTATTTTCACAATAATCTATTAAGGAAAAAAAATAATTAATAGTTGTATAATATCTTTTGAATCGTAGGACAAATAACCCTTTTTTTTGAGGCATAGTTATAGAATCATAGAATCATGAAGTTGGAAGGGGTCTATAAGGCCAGCAAGTCCAACTCTCTGATCAGTGCAGGAATATAAATCAAAGGGTATCTGCCAGGTGGCTGTTGTCTAAATTTCTCCTGAATGCCTCCAGTGTTGGAGCACTCGCCACCTCTTGAAGTAATTGTCTGTGGCATAACTTTTAAAAACAGAAAATGGTGGGGCAGTACTGTATACAATCTAAATTTTCTTCCCTCTCTGCTAGCTGAATTAAGTAATTAAATATTTTTTTTAAAAAGCATTATCTGCTGGAATATTGCTGAGCCTTTGGTTTCCATTGAGATGCCCTGCTGCAATAAGAAACAAGAATGCTTATCCATAAATGAAAGTAAAATAATTTGCACCATAATTATTAACTGCTGTCTCAATAGTTTTTGTGTCAAGCCATTGCCCAGGGAAACAACTCACTCTGTTTTTAAACTCTACAGATGCTTCTAGCATCTAGCGAACTGGCCAAAAGGTATCTATGTGTTTTCGATAAACCATCACTTTTTGTTTCCTGGGAAGAAAGATCTATGTGCCCATGCTTGTGGCGGCAAAGCTAAGTTCAACTGCTGGGATCTCAGGTGCCCCCCTCTCCAAGAAAAGGCCACTGACATTCTTCTCCATCACCTTAGATCAGTGGTGTCCAACCTTGGCCCTCCAGATGTTCTTGGACTTCAACTCCCAGAAATCCTGGCCAGCAGAGGTGGTGTTGAAGGCTTCTGGGAGCTGTAGTCTAAGAACATCTGGAGGGCCAAGGTTGGACACCACTGCCTTAGATGGATGAGAGTCCCAAATGCTGCTGTGTTCTAAAAGTAAGAACCTATCTCTCAAGGCAATTAATTCCACTATCCACAAACTAAAAAGGGACCTGGAAGGTGTTTGAAGGACAGGATTGCAAGATCCTAATTTCTACTCTCCAACAGCAGGATAAACAACAGTCTCAATATCACTTCTTTCAGCAAGTTCCCAAACACTTGCAGATCCTTTTAAAATGTCTGTGTTTAACAATACTGTAGTGACAAATTTTACTTTCTTAGAGCATTCAGTAGAACTTCATATTGTGGTGAACTAGGGTTCTTTCTCCACCCTAACAAATCATTCCAAGTCCAGAAGATGGACTATTTATAAGCCAAGCCTCAGCACAAAATATGCATGAGGAAAAGTTAGAAAACCTGAACAATTCACACATCTTCTTATGGTATACATTGATATTACTGAAGTCTAAAATACTGCCCAGTTTACTTCACTGCCTCAGTATTAAGCTCTACCACTCTTGAAATTTTCCCTAACGATGATTTTATTGACGGAATGAGATACTGTACACGTTTGAGAAACCAGCTTTATTAAAGAACAGGTAGTGCAGTAGAAGAGCTATTCAAAGAGGTATTTTTGTAAGCAGACAACACAACCACATACAAAGAGATATAATAGCCAACAAGGAAAGTATACAAAATGGAATGTTAATTCAAATTGAAGAAACAGAGTATTTATTACAAAATTCCCCATTTATGTGATTACATTACACTGGATAAGCAGGCACTTTTTTGTTTTCCAGAAAAGGACATCTCAAAAAGATCACCTCAAATTAAGTGGCTATGAAGCTATGACACTGAATTACAGGCAATTTAAGGCAAAGATTGCATTTAACAAAATAATGTTGCATGATAGCTTAAGTTGCCAAGAGTCATGTTTTTACAAACTTACAATATAAATACAGAATGTGAAAGTCAGAAAAGTGAACAAATCCTTTCCTGCAACATACAAAAATGCTGTACCCCAGAGCACCAAATTGGATCAGTAGCTAAAATTTAAGATTCAATTGCTGAAATCCTATTGCCTACCATGGTAATTCACAACTAGAGTAGGCCCATTGAATCAGCAGAGATTTGGTGGGTAAACTTCTCTATGAGTTCCACTGATTCAGTGGGCCTACTCAAGTTGCAACTTACTGCACTACACTTTCTCTGTTACACATGTGTAAGGCAATCAGCAACATTCAGTCACTTCTAGCTGGTAATTAAAGAGTTACAGCTAGGATTCTTGAGTGTGTGCATTCAGCTGCGACTTGTAAATCACCAGTGGAAGCTACTGAATGTTGCCTTCCACACACAAAACAACCTAACAGAACAGGACTTCAGCCAATGTATGGGATCTACATTTTTAAGACTTTCAATACCTTTAGCAAAACTGTAATTTAAAAAATCTTTTAATATAAATGTAGCAGTGTCAAAACTTGAAGCGTTCTCAAACTGTAAACAGATTTTAAGTAGAAAAACTAACATTAGAGAGCATCACTGTGAATATCTTAAGTGCATATGACAAAGTTATCTACTTTAGAAAAGTCACCATATCGCTGGTTTGTCTCTCAGAGTTCTAAATACAAGTGTTCACTACTGATCCTACAGTGTGACATTCTGTGGACAAGGACACTAATTATTCTAACCCTAACAATTTGATTTTTGAAGAAAATAATTTTTAAGTATATTGCTACAGAGAGGAACATTGGAAGAAAATAATTTTTAAGTATATTGCTACATAGAAGAACATTGGATAAGAAGTCTGAAGTTCTTTTTTAAAACGTGTAGGTTGCTCCAGTATACTAGCCTGGCACTTGAAACCCTATTATACATGTGCACACATGTTTAACCCACTGTTGCCCTATGGCCAAACATGTTTTGCAAGTTGTTTAAAATATCACCTGCTTCCCTCCCTCAAAAATAATTTTGCCTGGGGTAAAACTGGGGTGACTGTATAGCATGCATGTCACAAAATAGCAATTCAAATGATTTTCAATTCTTTGAAGGAATAATTTCCTCAATCCCAAAAGGCTAGCTGGCAATACGAGTGTCTGGGCTGGTGTTTAGAGAGACCTAAAAGGATTGAGTATTTTGCTCTTTTAAAAAAAGACAGCAAACCCACTGGTTTACACTTAACCTCTCAACCCTTGAGACATTAAAAAAAAAACTCCAGGTATCTGAGAAAAATATGTAAGGCTACTCATGTAAGGCTAAAAAGTCGTCCCTTCTTCTAATAATTCTTCACCAACAAAATACTACTGCACTACAATAGAGTTGCCAGTCCCTAGGCCTTGAAGAACTGTTCCACTTTTCAGAACGCTCTGCTTGGCTTCTTCCATCATTTTAATAGTGAAATATGAAAAACAAGACCAGACAGAATTCTACCATCTATGCTACAATAGCCTTCTTGAGGTTCCACCAGTGATCCTAGTGTAGCATTGACAGAATTTACCTTCCAGCATTTACTCTTTCCATTTTCATAGTAGTCATTTTGATCTTCTATGTTAAAGACATATGCTGGTCATGGACTATTTCATACAGAAACACTAACAGCATCCTTATTCCTTCACACATATGTACATGATGTCTTCAGAACTATTACATACATTTCTAGAAATACTAATGCATTACTACCAATACCACCATGGGGGGAAAGGGAGCATTTACAGATTGCAAGAGGTAGGGTACTCTGCAAAATTTTATATATTGAGCCACAAACCCCTAAATTTAATATATTAGATCCTTGAAATTCCTGCTTTTTATTTTGATTTATTACATATGTGATAACATAAAGACTTCCATTCTCTAATTGCTTATTATAAAGTGCCTGAGAATTGTCAGTAACAAATTTCACAAGTTTTAGTTCTTGTAGTTTATTGACATCAGAGCTGTTGTTTATAAATGTCTGTTTTTGTTAATCTTTAGACTTATTTGCATGGCAACATGGTATAGTACAGTTAAGCTTCCCAAACATCTAGGCTCTAAATAGCTGACAATATCCAGTAAAAAAGATTAGAGCTAAATGTTGGATCTAGTGTATACAAAATTAGCTTAATTCTACTATGCTTGAGATATTCAGGGAAATTTCTATGCTCAGATATGCTCCACTAGTCACTTCTAAAAGATGGAAGAGAGCTGAGTGGGAGGCATAATGAATGTGGACAATAAGCCCTACAAACCACTACAGTGGGAAATTTCGTTTGCTAACAGCCCTTTTTAGAACATCTGCAGCTTTTAGATTTCCCAAAATAATCTGATGACCCAATCGTTAGAATTTCAATGGGAGAGACTTGTTTGAAATACTCTCAAACAATTTGCAGCCAGTATGCATGCAGGCCCACATACAAAGTAACTTAATTCCTCATTACAAGGAAACAACAAACAAACCATCTATCGATTTAACGACATTTGAATCGGACAAAGAAAAAGAATGCAGGAAAGCCATACAAAGTCTGGATGCCTGCTCAGATCATTACATGATCCCGTCCTTGTAGAGAAACTAACACATGAAACAGAGCACAAGTCCTTCCATCAAGTCACAGTTATAAGCTAGGTGGGGTAGCCACTGTGAACAGAAATCAAATGTTAATGTGTACAGTTAAATGTGAAGAAAAAAAGAGGAGAGGAGTGTCTCATATTTTCAGTCACGTTCTTGGACTAAGGTCTGCCTACAAGCTGAAGTCACATTTCACCAATAGTAAGGACGAATGGGGTGATCAAACAAATTAGCAGCGAGAGGGAAGAAATAATTGATCAGGCTATGTAAGTATTAAGGCAGAAACACTGATGTTACTTCACATCCGAACTGTATTTAAGAGGTGATAATGGAATGTAACAAACTGCTTACAAAGTCTGAAGCAGTTTGTTTTTACGATGCTCATGTTATACTCTCACTGAGGCTAATTTTGCTCATTTAATAATACTTTACTATCAACATCACAGTAACACTATGACATAGTACTATGCCTGCTGCATTGTTAGAAAACAGTAAGTCAGCTTCCTTACATGATTGTAGTAATAAATGTTCTAGAGGGTAAAAGATTAACCTTTGTTACTCTGATGTTTTTGAACTGCAACTCCCAGAAACCCCAGCCAGCACAGTTGGTGGTCAAGGCTTCTGGGAGTTGCAGTCCAAAATAGCTAGAACTCCCATCAGCTCTGAGATTGCCATAGTGTCCATTTCAACAACAAAACTGTATAATTTAAGTAGATAACTATGGGCCAAGTTAAAACAATGGCTTCGTTAAGCAAGTGAAAGAAATGTTCAGTTGATCTTGGGACCTTATTTCACAAAGCTCATTACGCCTGGAAAAATAATATTTGGTAGCTTTGCCTTGTGTGGTTCACAAGTACTTAGAAAGCTTGATATGGTTGCTCCTAGGCATGTATGTGCAGATCATATGGTTGTGCAGGTCTTCCAGTCCTCAGTGTGAGACTTCTTTTTACGGAGATGAAACATGTCCTGCCAGCCTGCATAAAAGCAGCAAAAATTATTTCAAAATAAAGATAAACCTCTTATAGAGATGGGCATGAACCTCAGTTTGGAGGTTCACGGTAGTTCATACACATGGCACCACAAGTGCCTCGCATTCCCTTCCCCCACCTCCCCGGCCAACGACCTGCTCACCAATGAAGGTGCACTCCTCTCCTCCTCCTCTTTGGCTGTTCAACCAGTCCCTGGCAGGGACACGGGTTTGCCTGTCCTGCCTTCTTGTCTGAGTGGGCAATCAGCCAAGGAGGCGGGGCAGGGAGGCCCGTGTTCCTACTGGGGACTGGTCGAATGGCCAATGAGGAGGAGGAGAGGATCATGTGCTGACTGGTGAGTGGGAATCCAGCCGGGGAGGCAGGGGGAAGAAATGAACTGGCATGAACCTCCGAATCAAGGTTTGTGCCCATCTCTACTTACAGCTGATTCTACATTGTTGTTGCTATGTGCCATCAAGTCAGAACTGACTTATATAAAACCTAACACGGCTTTTAAGGTAAGCGATGCATTTAAGGAGCGGTTTTATTAGTTCCTCACCCCAGTGAGTTTCCATGGCAGAGTCATGAAATCAAACTCAGGTCTCCTAAGTGCTAATCTATTATTGTATCCACTACCCCTTATTGGATACTGATTCTAAATACAGTATACCCTATATGTTTTCCTTTTGAAAAACAAAAGGAACACTACATTACCAATTCCTCTAGCTTCTGGTTTCAAAATATAGAACTTGGGACAACTTCTGTAAGTAGTTTGAAGCTACTGATTGCAGCCTCACAAGATGCTTTATGCAGAGGCCTCTTAAGTGCCTGCTCCTTTTCTTTCTGAGCCCTCCCCACTCCTAGGCGTCATACACACCGGCTGCTCTTGGGAGTCTAGAGCAGTGTTTCCCAAATTTGGGTTTCCCAGATTTTCTTGGACTACAGTTTCCAGAAATCCTGGCCAGCACAGCTAGTGTTGAAAGCTCCTGGGAGTTTTAGTCCAAGAACATCCAGCAACCCAAGGCTGGGAACCACAAATATATAGTTGAACTACATTTGTGGTTCCTGCTTGGACACATCTCCAGACTGAAGCCTACAAGAAAAGCCTATACACTTTCTAAAAACAGAGACAGATGCTTACAGAAGAGTGCTTAGGCTTTATTGCAATCAATGCTATGAGTACTTAAAAATTTGTATCACAACTATTACCTCTTTTGAGAATGCAGGCTTGGCAGTGGCAAAAGGTAAGGAACAAAATGAGGACATCTGGGCTAGTAATATCCTTAAGCTATCCCACTTAATCAAGAAGCTCCACTGAATTCCCAGTAATTCTGCTGAGGACTGAGACATCAGTTTATTCACAATGTAGCAGAGAAATTCATCTGGAACCCTTTTTAAAAAGTACTTGAGGTTTGTTTTGCTTCTCACATATAAACCCAGATATTATGGTGGGCCAGAGAAATACATGGAATCCTAGCATGTTCTTAACTAAAAGCCACCCCATGCACTGCTGGAAAAAAAATGCAGGATTTAATCATTTTACCATAGTAAAATTATAGCTCGTGGCTTGCTTGTTATGTGAAACATGCTTCAAAGCACTTCTTCACAGCATCCCTGTGGGAAAAAGAGAGAAATACTCATGAAGCAAAGACCCCATCCTATTAAATATTTAAGACCTGAAAGATTTTTGTTTTCAATTAATGAATTCCTTGGATATTTTTCAAGACTTCCAAAGCAATCTTCCAGAGTTGCAATAGGCAACATATAATTCAAATTTCAGTACAAGTTTATAAAACCAAATCTTTTTTAGACAGAAGCGGACCAGTCAAAATTAGTCAAACCTGCAATGTAACACTTATTTACATATGGAAGCATATGTAATAAAAACCTTTCAGTTAAAAGACAGAGAAAAGAGATTTTAAAAATCTGCAGGAAAATGACAGATGACCAATAAAATAGGGTGATCTTTGAAGAGACTCCCATTTTAGTGCTGAGGTGGGGACCTGAAATTGGGTTGGGACTGTACAACATCTTCCTCATAGCCATGGGTGGAAGTGTGGGAGTTTTTTTCAACCTGGTTCTTTATCCAGGCTGTCCTCCTTGTTCACCTTCCCCAAATAAGAAAAAGGAATGAGGAATAAATCCTGGTGAGAAAACCACTGGGGCTAGCCTATTCCCTTATTTGTGGTAGGAGAAGGGAAGCAAAACCAGAAATGGAATATCCACTGTTTTCCGTCAAGGGTTTTCTTCTTGCTAGCTTCTGAGAAAGAGGCTCAGGAAGGGGCTCATTTGGATAATTTCAGGCTACAAGCCACAGGATACTCACCTTGCTCTAGCAACCTGCCAGATCTACCATTCTTAATGGCAAGACATCTGACAACAAACTTCCCCCCAACACATTTATTTTGTGCCACTTTGTTCTCTCCAAATCTCTCCTTAAAACCACAATTTCTATGATATTTTGGCATAATCCCCCCAGGCTCCATGCCCTACTGTAACTGAGCCCTAAGTATACACATCTAAAATAAACACATACTCTTTCAAATCTATTCCTCTACTACTTCATTTGTCTTCCTTTTGCTGAGATACTGATTGTAACCCAACAAGACAGGGACTTGCCTTCTTGTACTCTACAAATTTGCACTGATAGCACTATATAAACAATCAGATCTTAGAAAACAAACACAAACCATTATATAATTACTGGATTTTCCATTGTTACTCACATACTGACATTCCAATCCTACCAGGGATGCATTTCAGTACCTCTAGAAGATTATTTCAGCCATTTAATTAAGCAGTAATTTCTGAACCTAAAGCACATGAACAAGCATTTCACTGAAGCTAGATAACTTTTCCAAATCTTGGAAGTCAAAGAGGAAAGTTATCTATTTCTTTGATGAACTACATTTTTTCTTGAGCAGATGATAGAAGTCAACGTTACCTTGCAAATGGTATGTATGAAATGCTGTACCTAGAAAACAAATGGCATGAAAACATTAATTTGAAGGAACCAACTAATGCTTTGCTCCACATTACCAAATGCGCTGAAAAACTAGGCTTATACTTGAGTATATACAGTAAGTCAATTAAGAATGTATATGGAAGAAAATGCAATAATAAGAAAGTATGGAATGTAGAAAAAAATGTAGAAAAACATTTTAAAACATGTGATGGAATGATACCTAGAGACTGAAAAGTTTCAGTCTGAACAAAATCCTGTAGCACTATGTTCAAAAATTGATATTTTTTAAATGAGGAAATATATTAGTCAATGTGTGGGTCCATTATGGTAGTTCTTAGTAAAGGTGGTTTACAATATGTGTCTGACAAGCAGTGAAGAAATAAACCTCTCCTTTATTAATACAAATCACCTTTTAAAAATCACTGCTTTCTTTTGGCAGTTAGTATATCTATGGAAAAAGTACTGTATATGAGAAAATAGTTCACTACTTACCATGTCAATGCAAAAAACTGCAAAATACAGAAGATGAGGGCAAGTCCCTTATTCTCCCACTGTAAAAAGAAAGATACCATCACAAACCAAGCAAAGAAAATTCATATACATTGTACTAAGTCTCACAAATTCAAGAACTTACCCAGAAAGCTGAACACAGAGTTAATGTAAGACATAGCTGGAAAAGAACAGGAGAAAAATATTTTAATGTATGCATGAGATTATTCCTTCAAGTGTGGAGTCTGTGGGGGATGATTGTAACTAGGCCATCAAGGGAAAGAGCATACTAAACACTAACAGTTTTTAGAAGACAGAGGTATGCATCAAACACACACAGCACAGTTTCAATGGGGTTTTGAGATAATCTCTTGTCAACCAGTTCACCAGCTCAGGCTCATTACATCCTTTAAACAGACCCCTGAAGACCAGGCATAACAGGGGCAGCTGGATGGATGGCAGAGTGTTGAAGTAAGGCTTGGTATTTCATCATGAAGAACGTTTTTGAGCAGGGGGTTGAACTTGATGGCTTTATTATGTTGTTGTTCTTTAGTCGTTTAGTCATATCCAACTCTTCATGACCCCATGGACCAGAGCATGCCAGGCCCTCCTGTCTTCCACTGCCTCCCGGAGTTGGGTCAAATTCATGTTGGTATCTTCAGTGACACTGTCCAACCATCTCATCCTCTGTCATCCCCGTCTCCTCTTGCCTTCACACTTTCCTAACATCATGGTCTTTTCCAGGGAGTCTTATAGGCTCCTTCCAAATCCATTATTCTATGATTCTCGAGAGCAGGCTCATATTGGTGAAAACGGAGATATAACGGATACAACGTTGGATGGTGGGCAGGCCATTACAAGATAGCAAGCCCAAGAGGTGTAATATCTGCCCTGTGCTCTGGTCCTCCTCTAAGCTGGCAGAATCAAGATAACTTTATAAGCCAGCCTTCTGATTGACACATGTCGCTGTTAAGTCAGACCTGTCCAAAATAAATCTGAACTAATATTAGATCTGATAGAAGATGAAAACGCCAACCTGATATGTATAACTCAAACCTGCATGGGAGAGGAAGGGGTGTAGCCCTTTCCCAGCCATGCCCCCCCCAGGATATTTGATCCAGCATCATAGCAGGGGGAGGGGGAGGGTGTGTTGCTGGAGTCCATAGGAACTCCATTAACATCTGCAGGATTCCTGTCCTGTTGGGCCCAGATGTGGAGTGTCTTCACCTCATGTTGGACCACCAGAACAGAGCAGAAGTGCTGTTGGTGTCCTCAAATTCCCTCCTTGACAGAACACATGTTCACTGCTGTGTTGAAGTCCCCCACACTTTTACTTCTGGAGGATTTCAAGATATATGTGGAGGCACAGCTTACTAGAGTAAGTCTTGAGTTCATGGATGCCACGGGCCTGTCTCATGCATGGGGCCCACACATACTGCAGGTCACACCCGCAATCTAGGGCTCTTGTCAGGAGAGGGAAAGGATGATTTGAACGTGCTAAACCTTGAGTCCTCCCCCTTGTCATGGTCAATTCATCTCCTGATGAGATTTAGACTCTGTACAACTGAACCTTTCCATGGGGAAGAGGCACCTACAAATCCCAGAATGATGTGTAGGTAGAGGCATGTATCGCATCAAGAATCATGAACCAAGCAGGAAATTGGATGCCAGGGAGTTGCTTTTGCAAGCAGCTGAACACAAATAGCTGCAGTTGAAAACTGACAGATGTCACAATGGGGGGGGGGAACAGATGGGTTATATGTACCTGTTTATTAAGAACTTGAATGACAAGTTATGTCATGCAATGCAGTTTATAAAGGGGCTGGGGAGTGCTTAGCACAATAGAAGCTTTAGCTGTACTGAGTAGATACTAAAGCAGTGGTTCCCAACCTTATGTAACCCAGATGGTTCTTGGAGTGCAGTTCTCAGAACCCTTCACTACCAGCGGCGCTGGCTGTGGTTTCTTGGGAGTTGCAGTTCAAAAACACATGGGTTACCTAAGGTTGGGAACCACTGCATAAAAGCAACCACCAAGGATTTGCATATGGCTTTTCAGGGCCGGGGGCAACAGGCCATTTGTGGAACTAGAAAATCTACTGTAAACCCCTCTCTCTCTCTCTCTGTCTCTCTCTCTCACATACACACACACACACACACACACACACAAATATTGGATACCTATGGCAGCATTAAACAGAAGAGAGGTGGGGAAGTAGAAATGATTGGTCCTTAATCCTGCAGAGGTATCGGCAAATTATAGTCCACAGTAAGTTCAACTTTCTCCTTCCTACAGATGAGACAGGTTTTCATTGCATGTTTACTTACTACTAGGACCAATTAGAGAAGCAAAGGAAACAGCAGGATATAGAACACTGAATAGAAAGCTCACTCAGCAAAAATACAAAAGTCAAAACATCTTCAATACTTACAAGCATAACAATAGTAGCTATTAAACGGGTAGGCTCAAACATTCTTTTCAATTGCTTCATAGGTCCCATAAGAAATATTGTGCTGTAGAAAGAAGAAAAAGCTTTAGCAAATCTGCAGGTAGCAACACACTACAATGAGTGTCCCACTTAAGGTGACAAGAGCTGTGTTAGAAGGGTGTGTCACATACACCACATATTGCTCCAAAGATGTATCTTATAACACAGAATAAGATAGCATGTTATTCCTAGGAGAATAAGGAAAAACATTACTTAATTACTTAATATTAATAAGACACAGGAGAGTTAGGCTGACATTGTCAAATTACTTCTGGCTTCTTGTCAACTAGTCTATCAGTTAAAATGTTTCGACTTGACTGTCAAGGGTAAAAGCAAACAGTAGTCTGCATTTCAAGAAAGAATTGCTTATTCATTCACAATTTCTGCTACTCACTATAAAGGAAGAAAAAAATTACCTTCCAATGGATGAGATATTTCCTAGCGTGTAAAATACAGCAAACAAGATGATGCCTTTCGCTGGAATCCATAACAGGCAAGTACCCTGAAAAGGAAAACAAAGGAAGCAACTGAAATTAAAACTCCATAACAAACATACTGTACACCTTCTGTAGAGAAATTTTGTATGTCTAAAAAAATGTAAATTTGAAATTCTCTATTCTCTTGTCTCTTAAGAACTTTTGTTTCTTTTCTTTAATGAAGCATTGAGCCTTTTGATAACATCTTTTAAGATGAGATTTTATAACATAAACCCTAATTTACATAATAATATCAGCTTAAAGTGAGGGTTTAAACAGGGAAAATTCAGTTCTCTGAGATCTGTTAAGCAAGATTATTGTCTAGGAGGAGAACAGAATTCTGGAATAATGAACAATATATACATCATATTTGTAACTGATGTTATTTCTTTCAAGGAGTTGAAATTTACTCTTTATCTTTCACAACCAGACTCCTTTCCTAGCAGTAAGTCCCACTGAACTCATTTACTTATGCCTCAACATGTGTGCAACATGCGTCGTAATTCTATTTGACTTCTTTCTCTTGTTCATGCCTTCCTTAACACTTAATCCCCTCACCCACCTGCAACTTATTTTGTTTTGAACTGATTTCTTTCTGTTTCTTCCTTATCCTTCACAAATATTTCTACACAAACACAGATTTTGTATATTACATACACTGAGTAAAATATTAATCTGTTCGGGGAAAAACCTAAGTGGCACGGCCTACAGAAAGGCTGCACTGCACTCTGCAAGTTCACAAGAAATCAAAATTCAATTTCACGAAAGCTGATAGGAAATGGGGAAAGAAAAGTCTTACCAAAATAGAGCACAGAACTCCTATAACAAAACAAGCAATGAAGCCTTTCAGTCTTGTGCTCCAGCTTAAGGAAGATGCATCCACCACCTGAAAAAGTTTAAAATACCTGTATTAAAATTTCAGCATTAAGATTTTACAAGATAAGTGCCAGTGTGTAACTCAGCATAAAACTAGCTGTTATCCGTTCCTTTCAAGCAATATAACTATGAGAGAATCAATATACACAGCACAATGACTTCTACATAGCAAACATTTTGCTAAGAGTATGACTTGATTTCCAGCTGAAGTAAACAGTTACATGTTACTCAATAACATTTATCTGATATATTTTATGAGCTAATGCTTCCCAAACTCTTTTAGATATGTCTCTTTTTTAAAAAAATTGTTTTTCTTCATCAACATTACCAACTATGATAATCACCAAAGGCAACCTTTGAGCCAGTTCCTTTTAAATATTCACAGAACATAATTCTTATATTCAGCTGTACATGAACATTAAATTTTCTGTTTCACTTTTATAGTGCATTTTTATACCATGTTTTCCCCAGGAGAACAAAGGGAATATTACATCTTTCAGAACAAAAATGCTGCCATAATTTTGAATGGTTTAAGCTCTAATATGCACAAGGTGACCATGTATGTTTCTGACAGCTATTTGTGACATAGTTAGAAAAATGCCAGGAATTTTCCGCATACCACTCATGTACAAATATTTTGATTCCACAACTGAGCACGGATTCAGGCCCAGGTCTCCTGAGTCCCAGTTTGTCACTCAGACTACCAAACCACACAGGGTATTGTTCAGTGTTATAAAATCCCAAACCCAAGCAAATATTTGCTCCTTTTATAATACAGAAAGTGATACGAATTCAACAGTTGCATGTTTGTCAGAAAGCTAAGTGAAAATAGGATTTGTAGGTATGCATGAAAGAGGATTTAAAAAATAGATGCATCCAAATTCTTGCATATTCTTACTAGCCTTCCAAATGAGTCTTTCAAAGAAATGTAATTCACAGAGCTTTCAGAGGTACCCAACCCAGGATGGATTAGGTTGTTAAATTCACCTTAGTTTAGGCATCCCTTCAGTCTTGAGAGACAATGTAACGTGCTCTGTAGCAGTGCCTAGTGTGGCTGAGAAGGCCAATATGAGAGTGACGATCCCTTCCACACTGAAGACAAATACAGTCTGTCCCCTGTCCAGCTCCCTGATTTGGCTGGGTTCAGGACTGCCTCTTTGCCTTGGCCTGCTGAACAAATGTCTCTTCGAATTGGGAGAGGCCATGCTGCACCGCCTGCCTCCAGGCTGAACGCTTAGACATCAAGGTTTCCCATTTGTTGAGGTCTATTCCTAAGGCCTTCAGATCCCACTTGCAGATGTCCTTGTATTACAGCTGTGGTCTCCCTCTAAGGCGCTTTCTGTGCACTAATTCTTCATACAGGAGAACTTTTGGAATCCAACCATCAGCCATTCTCACGATATGCCCAAGCCAACGCAGACATCGCTGTTTCAGCAATGTATACATGCTGAAAATTCCATCTCGCTCTAGGACTACTCTATTTGGAACTTTAAATTCACCACATACATAGTGTCTGAACAACAGATCTTGAAAAATGCTATGCAAAGCTAGTTGCTTGCCAAATTCATAGTCAATTTATATCACAAGAGCAAAATAACAGAGATAGTGATAATATACACAAGGTTTCTGAATGCCATAATTCACAAACAATTTGTAGACTCTTACTTTACATGCTGCCTTGAAAGGATCTTACCATTACAATCTAAAAATAATTTTTAAGAGCAAAAATAAAATAAAGGGCTCATGGGCATCAAATATATCAGAATTTTTTTTTAAAAAAAATGTAAAGCAAGGATTCCTCTCTCGATTCAGTGATGTCTTAAGAGGTTCTTATCACTTCAGTTTTGTAATGGCAGCAATCTTAACTTGTAGGTACAAATAGTTTTAAAAAAAATAAATTTATTAAACAACCAACCAACCTAAACAACATAAACCTAACACCACAGTAAAATACAATTACATAATACACCAGTGCCACCAGCACCCTCAGGGCTAGCATTAATAATACTTTACATTTCATTCAGTCCATTTTCTCTCCAGAACTTCATTGTTTCTTCCCTCGGTGTATACCCCTTCCCTCTTTGAAATGCACCTTCCAAGAATATACTCCATATTTTCTTAAAATCATTATTTTTGATAGGCCTCTTCTTATTTGCATATTGCAGTCAGTTTATCATTAATTGCCATATCCCATAGTTCTGTATACAGTTCTTCTAAATTGAGTTGCTTATCATTTTTCCATTTTCTTGCCGAAAATTAACCTTGCTGCCATAATCATTATTACTATTAAATCCTTATTTTCTTTCACCCATTGATCCTTCTTAACCAAATTCAATAAAGCCATTGACGGGGGCAAATAGTTCTTTTATACTCTAAACTAAGGCTATTGCTTGTCATATTATCAGGCTCATTAACAAACAAAAATGAAGATTTCCTAGGAGGTTAAGGTTTAACACTTGTGTTTAACAACTTCAAGTGTTTAAAGCGCATTATGTATCTAGTCTAATTTATATGCTGTCTTTCTAGTTGTAATCCTTCTAAGTCAATAAGGTATTATTACACCTCAAACCCTCATTCTGTAAAGTGAGAGACTAAATGTAAGAGTTGTTTCCCTACAGTTACATATCACGTTAGGATAGCAGCTCCCTGATTTTGTTGCTTCCCTCTTAGCCACTACACTACAACATTAATCGTCACATTCCCTCAAGACTGTGTTACTGTTGTGGGAATATGATGCTTTTCCCGGACAAATTTATAATTCCTTTCCCAAGCAAAGTATTTATTGCTACTACAACACAGCATTATGTTTGTACAACAACTGTCAACAGGTGAAGAGCCCATTCCCTCTTTTAAAAGAATTGTTTTAAAAAACAATGTGGCTTTACCATGTTTTATTAATATATTTTAAGGTGGATTAGGCTTAAGATTTTAGAAGGCTTTCCTTTTACTTACTGTTAGTTAAGGCATTCCAGCATACAGCAAAGCCAATAATAAAGAACTCTGTTTACAAAACAGGTTGAACATATCAGGAATGTGTTTGCTCCTGGACAGCTCTGTGAGTTAGATGTTGGGAATTCAATTCCTCACTGTGACTTCAGGGAGCTAGCCTGTACAGCCTTGGGCAAGCTACAGAACCCCAGGGCACCTCCAGTACTGTAGAAGGGAGTCATAAACCACTTCTGAGTACAGTGCGCAGTACCTACAAAACCCCGGAAAAGCTTGTCATAAGTCAGAACTGACCTGGCAGCATGTATTTCTTCTTAGCAGAGCACTATTCATTGTTATATGGAGACAGAGTAAGATGGTATTGATGCCAAGGTAGAGTGAGCAGCCATTTGACTTTTTAATTTATTTGCCAACTTATGCAATAAACAACAACTTCATTCACAACAACTTCAAATGATAATTTGTCTTCTAAACTCAGTTACTAATTAACAGAACAAAAATCCAATTGGGCTAAAAATGCTACCAGCAGCATAACCTGGGAAAATAGTATCAGACAGAATTTATGAAGGATCCCTAACTTTTTCCAACCTCACAGCCCATCATTCTAAAAATCCTAAAAAATTAACTTTACGAGTGTTACATTGTTACAGTTTTCAATTAATTTATATGGATTGTATCCAGTTGTAGTTTTCTGATGATTAGAAGTGGGTCTGATCACACAAGACATATTTTTGGTCAATCATCCACACACAGTTCCAAACCCCTGCCCAAAGCAGCTCCTATGACTCAGGCCACTCTTCGAAACAGTACTGGTTATACTGACAGCTCAAATAGACAACAGAGATGAGTAAAAACCAGCTGCCCAGACTCTTGTTAATACAAAGCTACCTGGGATTTAGCCTCTGGCTGAAATCACATTATTCACATTGTATTAAATAGAATTATTACCTGTTTAAAACCAAGTGATATACATATGCAAACAGTCTATTAATTTTGTCTTACTAAATTTATAGACATTGCACTTGATTGGGGGGAACACATGCCTTTAACATTTCTGTTCTAATTCCTGCTATAGATAACAACTAGAACCACTTTTGCTTATGACCTTTGTCAATTAACAGGGGCTCTAATGATGGATCAAGTCAAGCACTAGATGACCAATGCACACATTAAACCAATTAAAGTTGGCAGCTTAAACATGAGAAGGCACTAAACCGCCTTGATGCCACTGATATTTTGCTCTCCATCTCCATATACCTTGCAAATTCTTCCCGGGATGCCTCTGGTAGGAAATAATCATTACACACCTTCTCTTCCTCTTTCCTCCTTTGTGATGCGGTGTGTTTTTCGTACTTCTTTCAATCCTAGCTAAAGGGATCAGCTGGAACAGCACCGGGCTAAAGGTGTTTCGGTCTCCCAAGGATTCTGCCTAAAACCCGATCTTAACCACCTTGCCCCGCTCGCGCTCAGAGCGGCCTTTGGAAAGCGGATCAGGGCTAATCAAATGGCAAGCAAGACACAGATAGGAACCCACGTTAGTAACAACAGGGCACTAGCAAGTGGGGAAGGAAAGGTCAACGTCTTCTTATCTGATCGTTGTCTAATGATTGAATCCCTCCTGGCAAGCCTCACCAGATTAGCTCAGAAAAATTTTTAACGCTCTGACTCCAGCCTTTCTGACCTGACACCGGCACCCTAACGCGGAGATGCTGACATATATATGTGCGAAGTTGTGTTTACTTCCCTGAACCTACCCGTGATCGCAGGCTGGGGCAGGAAATACAGTACGAGGCGGACTGTGAGCCCTCGAAAGGAGGAGGAATGAGTGGGTGGGTGGGAATAAACATAGCGCTGCTATTTCCTGGCAACTGCAAACATTGGTGTCGGGGGGAGTGTTGGCCCCAAGACAACACTCTCCGATCCCTAGGGTGGCCGTCGATCTTTGTCCCCCTCCGTCCGGCACCCCCACCCCAAGGTGGATTTTGGACTTTATCCTACAACTGATCGGCGACGGGGGTAAAGAAGCCGATCAGTTGTAGCGGGCAGGGGGGAGCGGGCAGCAGGCAGGCAGAGCACCCCCACCCACCGGGGCTGGCAAGGGAGGCGTCCAGGCAGGAGAAGGAGATGCGAGAGGGAAGCCCGTCCCGCGGGGAAAGGGAGCAAGGTGTGGCGCTAGAGGAGGGAGAGGGAGAGAGAGAAAGGGGGGGTAGCGGGAGGCATACCTCGGCCAGGGGGCCCGGATCTTCCGCGTCCTGTCCGCTCAGCACCCGCTTCAGCTTGTCCATGCCGCGCGGCCCCGGCGCTCCTGACTCGCCGACCTGCACCTAAAAGCAACGCCGCCTCTTCCACTCTCCCGCACACCAAAGGCTCCTTTGGAGACTACGAATCCCAAGACGCAACGGAGCGCAGCAGGTACCAAAAACTCCTCCCCGCTCCTTCGAGAGACAACCAATCACCGCGCTCTGGCGCGAAGCTTTTCGGGAGCTGGAGGAGGCGATGATCATCCTGGGAGTCGCTCTTGGCTTTCGGGATGTCCTACCCGTGGGCAGATTTCACAGCCGATGTCTTTCTCCCCCCCCCCCTCCGGGAGGTTTGAGGAGTAAAAAGCGATAAATACTGAATAGTTCAGTTGTTTAGGTTGGGAATTCGATTCTGCAGGATACCTCCATGGGGTCTCTTGCAGCTCTAAGAGGAGGAGGAGAAGGATTAAAAAACCTTCAAGATACATTTTTCTGCCATGATTTTGTTTAAAAGCGATTGCAGTGTTGTGTTTGCTTTGACCGATTATTCTCGAAAAGCGATAAATACTGAATAGCTCAGTTGTTTAGGTTGGGAATTCAGTTCTGCAGTACCTCCATAGGGTCTCTTGCAGCTCTAAGAGGGGGAGGATTAAGCGGGAGGCATACCTCGGCCAGGGGGCCCGGATCTTCCGCGTCCTGTCCGCTCAGCACCCGCTTCAGCTTGTCCATGCCGCGCGGCCCCGGCGCTCCTGACTCGCCGACCTGCACCTAAAAGCAACGCCGCCTCTTCCACTCTCCCGCACACCAAAGGCTCCTTTGGAGACTACGAATCCCAAGACGCAACGGAGCGCAGCAGGTACCAAAAACTCCTCCCCGCTCCTTCGAGAGACAACCAATCACCGCGCTCTGGCGCGAAGCTTTTCGGGAGCTGGAGGAGGCGATGATCATCCTGGGAGTCGCTCTTGGCTTTCGGGATGTCCTACCCGTGGGCAGATTTCACAGCCGATGTCTTTCTCCCCCCCCCCCTCCGGGAGGTTTGAGGAGTAAAAAGCGATAAATACTGAATAGTTCAGTTGTTTAGGTTGGGAATTCGATTCTGCAGGATACCTCCATGGGGTCTCTTGCAGCTCTAAGAGGAGGAGGAGAAGGATTAAAAAACCTTCAAGATACATTTTTCTGCCATGATTTTGTTTAAAAGCGATTGCAGTGTTGTGTTTGCTTTGACCGATTATTCTCGCCCTAAGAAAGTGTGGCTGACTCACAGCTGGGAAGAGTGTGCTTACTTCCAAACATATTTTGAAAGAAATTTTCCCCCATGGGGAAGACATCTCCCTGTGTCTTTAAGTGTTTACACTACAGAACTCTGTATATGTTTTTGGTCTCTGTAGAAAGCCAAAATACACAGGTGTAAATACAACAAACTCTTGGGGCTTTCAATCTGTGCAGCAGAACAGATAAAGCCTTGTCAGTTTACATGTTCTGTATTATTTGTGGGGACTCCACTGGGGGTTTCAAAGTATTGTGAAATGTGAGTGGTTTTTACCAGTACTGCCCTCACCCCAGTGAGCTTTCATAAAAGGGATTTGAACCCAATCTTAGACCGTCACTCAATCCACTACTACACCACACACACTTGTCTTATTTTATGGTGAAGACAGTGAAGGGGTGGAATACAACAAGGTTTCAAAGCAATGTTTGCCAATCTAAAGGAATATTCTCTCCTGGAATAAAGATATAAGTTGATAGAGAAAATATAGCATACAGTTTTATTTAGTGAGGTGTTCATATGATCAATCATCGCAAATTAGGAATAGGCCTTAATTATTGCATGCAGAGACAGGTACAGCACTTCTGCAAAAGTCTCACTGAACCAAGGGGAAGTTGTGCAATGAAGCTTTCATTCATCACAATTGTGCAGGCAGTGGAGCTATGGATGGTATAATGTAACCATCAAGGTCCAAACTTGCTCAATTTTATTAGAACATATTTTCAATAAGAACAGAGGAGAATCTTCTGGTTCTCATGTATACTTTACACAGTACATGCAATGCTGTAAAATAAGCAGATTATTTCTTCTAGCACTGAACCAGCATTGTCACCTTCCCAAGGCACCCCTGCCCCAACTGAAGTACAATTGAAAATGGCAGGCTGACAAACTATTATGTAGCACAACTGTGTTGTTATCAGTGAAAATTATCAAGGAAATATAGTGCACAATGATTCAGCATTTCTCAGGTCTGATACTGCTATCCATTTTCCAGTAGAACAAAATGAATGATAAATATTACGTAAATATTATACTCGGGCTCAAATTACATTTGTAAATGCGCTGATAACAGTAGGGGAGACACCCATTCTATTATCTTTAATATCACCTTTTTTATTTCTTTAAGATTAAAGGATCACTAAACAATACATTTGAACTAATTTCTTTATATTTATGGGAATCCCTTAGCCTTTGTTTTGGACTCTTTCCTTTTCACTGAATTCATATACTACCACTGATATGAACTCCAGATTTCATCTCTTCATCTCTCCAAATCTATCATCAGCTTTGCTCTGGTTTCATTTATGACTAATAAGCCAGTGAAAAAACAAAAAGCAAGCATGAGTGGATGCAATGTGTGTGCAGTGAAATTCTAAAAATACAGCATGAACTTGGCTACCTTAAAGTTTTTTCCCCCCGTTACTATGGCTCTGGTGTCAACACAGGCATTCTACTTGGTAAACACACTTATTCTGTAGAGGCATCACCAGTCAGGTCAAAATGAACCACTGAATTGTTAGTGATTCCACAAAGAGCCCTATTTAGGCATTAAATCAGGGTACACACATCACATGAGCAACAGAAGCACTTTACTCCACTGCACCATCTGTCACCCTATGACACGAGGAGGAGAACAAACCTGGACAGCCTCTTGTATTTGATTTTTTGGAGTTCTAATTCACAAAGAGAGTCCCCAGTGCAGAAAGTTCTTCCTTTCATCGTTACCCTTTGTTGCATGAGGGTATAGAACTGGGGGCAAAGCAAGACGGACCATATTGCAAGCACTGCATGCCCTTCTCATCACTGCTCCTTTGGTATATGAAATCCCACTCATGTGCATGTTTACTCAGAAGTCAATCCCACAAACTTCAATAGAGCTTACTTCCAACAAAATATACACACGGAACCAAGTATCATAAAATACCCAATGAGATTAATTTGGCCCTTTCAGAAGTGAGAAAACCAACACAGAGAATAACACAGAGTATCACCACCATGAAGTGAATAAATAGCACAGAATAGTCATGCTTATTACTGCTGTTCAGATTCCCCCTCACTTAGTGCCACAGACAAGGATTTATACAGAAACACGCAGCATATGGCTAGACAGAGAACAGCTCTTAACACCCCACTGCCATAATAAACCAAAGGAACCAAAATGTCACTGTTTTCCTAATATTACCATCCTCTCACATTTCTGGTTTGCTCACATCTAAGGGAGAGAGATATAGGGAAGCATTTGGACTCCAGGATGATTGTCTGGAAAATGTTCAATAAGCAACTGTGTTGTGCAAGCACAATGATTCACTTTCTATAAGAATCAAACAATGGCTCTAGAATAGGGCATATCAGAGGACAAAACACAACTTTTTCATCTTTCAGATTATATCTCCTTAGAAGGGCAAGAGACAATGGGGCTTAAGCTACGATATGACCACAATAGCCTTGCAATCATTCTGAATTAAAATACCAATAATTTAGACTTACTATCCAACACACAGTAGTAGACTCAGTTACTACCATATTATGTAGAAGCGACATCACACAAATTTACCAGTTCTGAGAATGTAATTAAGAGAACTGGTGACAATGGGCTTTTTACTAACTGAAGGAAACTCCAAAGACCATTAAGATTGTGCAATGGTACAAATCATTTCAATGAGCATCCCTTGCTAATTTCTAGTCCACTTAAGAAACATAGATGATAATGATAGGAAGCAGGCAGAACAAGAGCCCATTATGTTATTTATACTTGGCTAAACTTATTATTTAACTTTTACTTAAATTGCTTTGAGGTATGTGTAAAATTTTGTTTTCTGTAAAATAGATCAAACAGCATCTCACAGGTTTCTTATTAAAATTGTCACAGCACTGATAAAAATGCATCCAATATAAAGATTTGTGAACTTTTCAAGACCAAGTGCCCCGCCAAAAGTTAAGGAGATTTGACATACAGAAGAAGCATAACAACTGTGATGTGTTTTATGCATTGTATGAAACAGGATCCTTCTATTACAAAAGACTGTATTAAAACAAAGTTCATAAGAGCTGTTTTTAGCTTATGTGTATCTTATTTCTTCCAAAACCCTCCAGAATTTCTTGACATGCTACACCAGCATCAAAAGTACTGATGCACAGTTATGGGCTTATTCTCCAGTGTCACGAACTCCAGTTCCCAACCTGCTTATCAACAGATCCAAGCACATCAAATACAGAGACAACGGAAACATAAGCAAAATTGTGAAATTTGCTCCACCCACCCAAAGCTACAGAAATATTAGTCAAATATCCACACAGATCTGTATCTGAGAAGTAGTGGCATCTTTGATGTAAATGGCCAAAAAAATTGCATGGTCTCCAGAAGATCTGTTTCAAGTCCACCAGATTCTGTAAATTTCCATTTAAGTGCCTTCAGATGTAGCTATGGATTCAGGACACACACTCTCTGGGAACTCCAGCTTCTCACAGATATTCTCCTTAACTGGTAAATGCTGTGCGATCTCATTAGGATCCGTGAAAAGTGGTGGGGGTACATGCTTAAAATAAAAACAGATTAAAGAGAGAATTAAGGAGAAAAGTGCCAAGAAGAAAAAAAAGAAGCTACTTCTATATACAATAAAACTTAATTAAAATGTATTAAAATGGTTTATATTTTTACTTGTGCATTCTAATTTCATTTAATTCTTGCTTCATTCCCAGACTTCCTGAAAAACATGCAGTGGTTGAAATCCTATTGTGCATCTCCATGCATGCAACAGGAATGACCGCAGCAGTAAACTGCCACTGATTAAAAGCTTCCTTCAGTGATTTTGGATGTGTGCGCAACTTGTATATAGCATGACATAGGAGGTGCATCTGAAATTGCCAAATAAAGCCTTCAATCTGCAGCAATTTGACAGTGCTGATGATGTCATTCCTGTTACATCCATGGAGTTCTGTAACAAGATTTCCACCAATGTGCCCAAAGGTGACAGAAGGCTAGGATCTCAAATATAGTGTATTATATTGCCGGCTAGAACTTAACAAGCATTTTGAAGATTGTAAAAATATGTACTGTATAACCCTCATATAACAGGATAGGACATTTTGTTACAGAATCCTCCCAGAATTAGATCTGTAATGTAGGCACTTTGGTATTTTCACCTGAAGAATTATAAACAGTTCCACCTATTATTATTCTACTTAGCTATGTACAGGTCTTCAACAAGCACATAAGGGTCTTAACAGATCATATTTATTTTTATCACTGGTTTATTCTTTCTGCTAGTGAATGCAACAAAAAGTATCTTATCTTTCAGCAAACGATGACACAGCAAAAGAGAATACGTTGGACCTATGAAGCCTGGGGCAGGAATAGCCTCTCTTCTTCTGTGGTAAGGAATGCTAGTCATTTTAGGAATAAACCTAAATCTAAATACAATGGAATTCTCATTAGCGTGTGAAAATACCCCACAGCTCACTTGCTGTACGCAATTTTAATCCTAATGTATTTAAGGGCCTAAGATAATACAAGCAATGCAATACAACTTCAATAGCACCAAAATACAAAGTGCATTTAAGGCCTATTGTAGTTAGGACTAACAATTGGATTTAGGCCAAAATAATTTGTGCTGGTGTCAGATCTCTAAACAGGGTTCTTGATTCACCCATGAGTCCTACAGAGACATATCAGCCCCCCTGGGAAAATATCAGCAGCCTGTTGTTCGTCACAGCTGAAATTTATCCCAATACAAACTCTGTTAGAAACTCTGATAAAGACAGTCCATTATGCTTGAATACCTTTAAATTTGATATTTTGCTTTCTCTAGATGTGTATTCCCGCAACATGTAGGGTTTGCTGGCCTAAGAATGAAACAAAGAAAACAGCTGAAACACAGTGTTATAAAACATGGGGTACATCTCCACATGCAGCCACAATTTAAATCATGTATATTTTTAAAATGGCAAGATACCTATTGCTCTTTGTGTAAGATTTGCATAACTTGTGTGACTAATTACAATCTGCAGGAGTGTATCTCGGTCACCTCCTTGGTCACATGTCCAGCTGCATAATTGAGATGCATCCCAATACCTTGTCAATTACCCACAATTAGTCATAGCAACTTATGCAAACCTTACACAACTACCACTAGGATTCTGGCCAGTGTGAATTTAACATACAGATTACAAGAAGTTATCAGTTTAGCGTACTATATACTGGATTGAAGAGGGTGGTGTACCCTTCATTTTGTTTCCCAGTTAAATGGTTATCTCCTGCACTGATGTTATTTCCAGTTAAGATGCTGAATTACTGGTACAGTATTAACTTGCAAACATGAACAAGTAATGAAACAAGCATGTTTCTGCCAATAGTAACACTAATGTAACAATTAGGGAGTATGGAAAACAACCACCACTGAAAGAAACTCTGTATGGTGTCCTAAACAGAATATCCAATACAGAAGGATTCCCTCATCCACAGGGTCAGTATCCAGGGATTCACTAATCCACAATCTGAAAATATTTAAAATAATTTTTAAAATATCCAGAAAAAAACTATTTTCACATGTATTAGCAGAACCAGCCACTAGGGGGCACTAGAACCCATGCTATGAATACTTGTTAGTGAAGACTAAATAGCATGGTCTACTGTGCAGGGACTCAGGGAAGTGCCAGCTGGGCTACCTCTGCAATTGATGCAGCGTCATGAACATCGAGCGGTAAGTGAACAAGAATGAAAAATGTACAAATAAAAGACTTTATTCCTTTGGAACATTAACAATTGTCATCATTTTATAGCCCCTCAGAATAAAACATACATGTCAAAACTTTATTAATAATAATCACTGCCATGTGCCACCAAGTCAGTTCTGACTTATGGCAACGCTTTTCAGGGTTTTCTAGGCAGAGAGCATTCAGAAGTGGTCTACCATCCTCTTCTGCACTCTAACACTGTGCAGTTTGACCCAAGGCTACACAGGGTGCCTCTTTTCCTAGGAGAAACAGCAGGGAACTGAACTCCCAACCTCTGGTTCTGCAGCCAGAAACCTAACTTACGGAACTATCCAGCCAGCTTCAGAACTTCCTTACCTCGTGATAAAGCCTTGTGTCATTCATCCTTATAAGCACTCCATCAACTCGCAAGAAAAACCTCAATAGCACAAAGAAGCTTGAGGGCATTACTCTCTGTCAAAAACAGTAATAATTATTTTTACTTGCACACAACTGCAACATTTTACTCCAGAAGTCTTTCAAGTAGTTTAGAAATATAGCATATGCCTCAGAAGCCTGTATTCATCTTTAACAGTATATCGCCTGTTGCAATCAGAGAAACATTATGCAAGTTCATTTTTGAATTTTATGTAGGCACAAAGTTACTAACAGGCATGTACTAAGAAGTAGATTAGAAAAATCCACAGAACAGTACATTTTTCAAAGCTATTTGTAAGACTTGGAATTGGGCAAAACACAGTAGCAAATCAAATCAAAGCGTGCTGCTTATATACTGCCCCACAGTGTATAAGCATTCTCTGGGTGGTTTACAAGTTAATTATGCAGGCTACACATTGCCTCCCCCAGCGAGCTGGGTACTCATTTTACTGACCTCGGAAGGATAGAACGCTGAGTCAACCTTGAGCCGGCTACCTGGGATTCAACCCTGATCATGAGCACAGTTTTGGCTGCAGTACAGCAGTTTAGTCACTAAAGTTGAGGCTCTTCAACTTTATACTGGTATAACCCGGATCAGGTGTCAGAAACATTTGATTTAAACCAATTAAAAGGTTCCTATTCTCCCTTTCAGGTCCTAAGGCTCCCTAGGACTCCCTTTTACCCTGAGAAAGGCTTTAGGAGCCTCAGCATATTGGGGGAGACACCTTTAATAGTAAAAAATCATCATCAGACCACCGGCAGCAATCTTGAATGCGTTCTAAGGCTCCCTAGGACTCCCTTTTGCCCTAAGAAAGGCTTTAGGAGCCTCAACATATTGGGGAGGGAGACACCTTTAATACTAAAAAATCATCATCAGACCACTGGCAGCAATCTTGAATGTGGTGCTGGGAATCCAGCAACAATTTTTTAATATTAAAGGCTCCTTGCTCCCCGCCAGCTCCCCAGGGCAAAATGGAACCCTAGGCAGCCTCAGAATATGAAAGGGGATAGGACACTTTTAATTTAAGTTAAATGTTCCAGAGCGTAGTAACAGGCTTCACTGGTGTAAAAGTTAGACAACTGGATGTCATCCATTTTTTCTCCTCTAAGATAAAACATGAACAAAATGACTAAACTCACTATTTTCACACTCAGGCTTGAAACTCCATGATCGTGAAGTTCATCTTCAAACAGTAACACTTCTTCAAAAAACATAATCTGTTCCCTGGCTTTAAGTTTCTCTGTATCTATATGTTCTGTTGTGGGAGAAACCTAAGGAAGAAAGAACAAGAAAAATTTAAAAACTGTATTTTTCTATCAAATTATGCTTTAGCAATGATTCAACAGATTCATGCTTAGAAGACATTCAGCCACCAAGAGCAAAGTTCAAAATGCACCTTTAACTTTAATGTATCACCTAGTAGAGTTCCTTTGTAGTCTGTTGTATAGGTCCAATCGTATGGTTTAACAACTTCTTTAGTGTGCTCAGGCTCAGACCTTAAGAAAAGAGAAATAAATGTACCTCATTTCAGACGCAGAATCAGAGACTACCTTGAGAGATAGTCAGAGTTCTTAAGGCAACATTCCCTATGAAATAAGCATGATACAGTGGTGCCTCGACTTACGAAAATCCCTACTTACGATCATTTCGAGTTACGACCAGCTCCGGCCTCAAAATTTTGCTTTGATCTGTGACTACAACCAGCTCCAGCCTCAAAATTTTGCTTTGCTTTGTGACTGGAGCTTCGAGTTACAAGCAGAAAAAAGGCAGGGAAGAAGGTGGGGAATTCAATGTGCTAACCGTTGGTGGCGAAGAGGCTGTTTCTTTAGCTCTTTCACCCCAACAGTTAGAGAGTATGCATTTGCAGGGAGGCTTCGGACTACCTGGTTTCTGCTTCTGAATGAGTGTGTGCGTTTGCAGGGAGGCTTCGGGCTCCCTGAGGCTTCGGACTGCCTGGTTTCTGCTTCTGAATGAGCGTGTGCGTTTGCAGGGAGGCTTCGGGCTGCCTGATTTCTGCTTCTGAGTGAGTACATACAGGGTTTTTGCAGTGTGGGTTTGGGCTGGGGGAGGTTATGTTTCTGTGCTGTGATTTTTTTGTTTTTTGGTGGGGGGGGGTGTTTTCCGGCCCCAGCACGTTCCAATGGGGCTTGCAGTGTTGTTTGGGTTTTTTGGTGATTTTTGTCTTTGGCCAGAATGAATTAATGGGGTTTCAATGCATTACTATGGGAAATAGTGCTTCGACTTACGACCAATTCAAGTTACGTTCCACCTTCTGGAACAGATTAAGTTCATAAGTCGAGGCACCACTGCATCTGTAAATCTGTAAACTTTCTCAAGTTTGATATGCGAGTATCACTTACATAAGCCATATTTTGTATATTACAGATCAGGTAGAAATATGCAGCAGTATTTTCTCAAAGTTTTTGACACAGAAACTGATGTACAGTTTGTACATCAGTACATGAAGAGCTTCATGGCACAGTGGTTAAACCACTGTACTGCAGCTAAAACTGTGCTCACGACCCGGGGATCAATCCCAGGTAACCGGCTCAAAGTTGACTCAGCCTTCTATCCTTCCGAGTCGGTAAAATGAGTACCCAGCTTGCTGGGGGGGAGGGGCAATGTGTAGCCTGCATAATTAACTTGCAAACTGCCCAGAGAGTGCTTGAAGCACTATGGGGCGGTATATAAGCAGCACGCTTTGCTTTTTGCTTTACTTTCTGACCTTTCTACCTGCTACTTCTTTACACCTAAGGCTATAATCCTATACATACTAACATCACAGTAAATCTTATTGAAATAAGAAGTTAATAGGCATAAGAGGCTGTCACTTTTCAGAATAAAACTAAGACTGTTAAGGCAGGGGGTCAATTAAATGGTTTATGTTTCTTTTTAAACATAAACATAGCTGATTATTCTGTGCGTGACCTTTAGTACACCTAGACATATTTGTAGTCAGTCTTGCATTAGGCTATCAAAAGACACCTAATGAGACCAAAATGCACAATTCTAGTTCCTTCACATAAGGGAAAAAGGAAAGGGGCTTTAGATAACAGAATCTCACAGTGAATGAATGATACAAATAAATATAGACTGAGGTATTCTTCAGTACTCATTTTAGCTACACCGATATACCGTTACCTGCTTTCTTGCCACTCCTCTGCACAAGCAACTTTAACAGTTCCTTGAGAGTTATTTACACATCTTAGAGCATCAGTTGCATTGAACTCTATCCCAAACAGAGATTCATGCTGAATTCTTAAGACATTGTCTCCAAACATCATTTCTGGAACACATGGCATTTGCAGTTCTTCAGCTAATCTGCATGGAATCAAAATAATCATGTCACTCTGAAACCCGTTCTCACTGTTCCAGCCAAACTGAAATAGTCTAATATGTTGTGTATAATGCAGACTATCTTCAGGAAGTCAATTCTGTTTATTTAAGATGAAATAAGAAGAAAGAAACTATTCCCTAAACTTCATGACATATTCATTTCACCTTTTGGGCTGTCCAAATCATCAGATCCCAAATTCCAAAGCTATGAATATAAATATTACAACATGAGGATCTGACATAGTCTGGGAAGTCACAGCTGATCACAGTTTTTCAGCATGTGGACACAACAGTCACATATAAGATTACTTCACATTAGCATTTACATGAGGCTTTCCCATAACTTTAATGTCCCCCCACTGCCGATAGTGGCTCTGAAGCACTATCAGCGGTGGTGGGGTACCTCTGAGAGGCCTCCGGCGGCGGCGCCGAAGCC